GAGATTTAGGCTTAGTAAAGATTTCATTTTCTCTTGATTTTCCAAAATTTAAAAGAGAAAGAGTGCGTGAGCATTGGTAAGTGGCTTTGGGACTCTGCTCTAGTGACCAGAGTCATGAGCACGAGCGGGGATGGTGGACCAGAGTGCTCTGTGCTCTCAGGGCAGCCAGGCGACTGTCGCCCTGCAGGAAGTTGGGCCCACAATAGCTGAATCTTCTGACCTTTTAGAAGTCAGAAATCAGGATGATTTTGAAGTGATATCTCCCAGTTCATAAATGTTTGAAAATACTGCATGAGCCAAATAAAGCCGCTCTTGGCCACAGGCTGTTGGCCTTGATGTTAACCTTGAGCCCCTGGTTTCTGCACCTCCCACCGCTTGTCTAGACACCTGCTGTGGTCCTGCACCTCTTCCTTTCTGCTGTAGCTTGCACCCTGCCCTGGCTTTTCTCCCCAGATCACCACCCCTGCCACTGAAGTGCACTCTCCGGGCAGGTCTCTGCTGTCAGCAGGGCAGGACCCACCCTTAGGTTATTGTTCAGAGCTTTCTCAATCTGACCCCACCGCTCTGTACACCGCCAGCCTGTTTTCCTGTCATACAGAGCTACTAGCTGTCCCTGAGCAGTACCAATACTTTTATTTAATTAATAGAACAATATTGATTTTATTTATTTTTTTTGGTACCGGGGATCAAACTCGGGACCTTGCCCTTGCGAGGCATGCACCGAACAATCTTAATTTTTAACAACAGTTTTAGAATTATAGAAAAATTGAGTTGTTAACATAGGGAGTGCTCATATGTTCCTTTGCTCTCTGCCCCCTCCTTCCAGATTTCTCCTACTATTAATATCTTCACTAGTGTAGTGTATTTGTTGCAGTTAACAAACCAGTATCGATACATCATTATTAACTGAAGTTCACAGTTTATGTTGTTTCACTTTTTGTTCGTAATATAAATATTTTTAAATAAGCCTTAAAATCTGTTAAAAATTTGATTTTCTTTGCTTGCATACTCTTTCCTTAATCCTGGCAAGATTCTTTTCAAGACCAAATAAGAATATCAGTCCTTCTGCAAAGCCTTCTCTGGCTGTTTATTTTTAGAATGGAACTAGAAGGAAGGGAGTAGACAACATAGAAAAGAACCGACATTTTTATCAGGTTCCTAGTGCATTGCCAAGTAGTATTTATAGTCTTCTGAACCTCTCTACAGTCACACAAGGTAGATATTATTACAGTAGCCCCCTCATCCACAATTTCTCCTTGTGTAATTTCAGTTAGCTGCAATCAACTGCAGCCCAAAAAAATTAAATATCAAATCCCAGAAATAAACAATTTATAAGTTTTAAATAACTTTTATTACAATATATCATTTTTTGTTTTATTATTAGTTACTGTCCTTAATCTCCTACTGTGACTAATTTATAAATTAAACTTTGCCACAGGTATGTGAATATAGGAAAAAAACATGCTATATGTAAGGTTCAGTACATCTGAGATTTCAAGCATCCCCTGAGGGTCTTGACATATGTCCTCTTCAGATAAAGAGGGGACCATTAAATACTCCATTTACAGATTAAGTCAGTCATCTGAAGCCCCACAGCTGTAAATTGGTTTAAATCCATGTCTACCCAACTCCAAAGCCTGTGCCCTTCCACTGTGGCTGGATTCTGACCATTTATCTAGCCTTGCTGCCTCTCCTAGCCACTGGAGTGAGGAGCACTGCGTTTTACAGCTCTTTGAAAAGAGGCCCTCAATATCAACATCAGTTAATGTGGCAAACGCTTGTTGTGTTCTTACTATGTACCAGACTGTTGGAGGGTGAGGTCAGCCATAGAAAGGAAAGTGCTGGCGATGCAGCTGTCCAGGTTATAAATCCCCACCGGGAAGCACCAGAGAGGCTGTGGATTTTCCCCTTATCCGCGACTAGGATGTAAGCTACAGAAGAGCAAGGACTGCTTGGTCTCTGCTGCATACCCCCAGGCAGTACCTGGTAATAATAGTTGCTTAGTAAATATTTGTTGACTGGATGTTTGAATCCTGTCACAAATTTGGGACACCTAAAATGAAACTCAACTGCTCAGTGTTCTCATGTGTATTCAGTCACCTTCCCCTAGAGCAAAGATGGCAAACCTTTTAGAGACCAAGTGCCCAAAGTGCAACACAAAACCCAACTATCCACTAAGTGCCAACACTGCAGTTAAACCTGTATACTGAGGTTTTGGTTTAGAAAAAACAACTCTTACATTAACATCTTTTGTCTTAAAAGAAAAATACAATAACAGAGCTTTCAATGATACAAACGGCTTTTTATTGAGAGATAAAAGTTGGCATAAGGTGTGCTTTTGTACAATTAATGTGAGTTTTGCTGTTGCATGCATGCTGATAATCTGTCAGACCTTGGCTGGGGTGACTTGGCTTGAGTTCCAACAGAGTGGGCTCTGCGTGCCCACTAAGGCATTCATGCCATAGTTTCACCACCACTGCCCCAGGGCCTGGCAGCTTTAGGGGCCTCTGTACTTGGTTCAGGGCAAATTGGTATTAAAGGCTGTTTGCAAATTATCCCAGGCCTGCACCCAGCCACACTTTTAGCCCAGAATCTGTGCATCAGAACTTCAGACCAGGGGGAAAGAGGCACCACCTTGCCTTTGGCAGCCTTTAGAGCTGATGGACAAATGACCCTTCCCAGGAGCTGCCAGGAGCACATGGCTTGACCGCAGATCCTAGTTCCAGAACCCTGGCCTCGGGCCTGGACCTCACACCAAAGGATGGCCTTATTTTTCTTGAACCTAATACTAAATGTCATGTGAGGGTGGTTGTGTATTAAAATATTTTCATTAATTTTCTGAAAGAAAAATATCTTTAAAAACAACCAGTTTCATACATTTACTTACAAAACTTTCCTCTCCTCTTCCTTTGGCTTCTCTCTCCCTTCTCTTTCCCTGCCCCATTTTTTCCTTGACTTCTCTGACCCTGATCTTCATTTATGTAGCTCTGTCTCTTCCACTTGCTTATTTCCACCAGGTTCTTCTAAGTGCACCTCTCTCACCAGTTGTCCTGTGTAAACAGATCACTTTCCATTCATTCCTAGTAAATAACCAGGATCACAATTGTCTGGTTTGTGCCCAAGGTGACAGAATTGATGGACCTGTAGGCTGATTTTCATAAACCAGAGCTACCAAGCGTTTCAAAAACAGGCTTGTTTTTGCCAAGCAAGGTGAGCAAATATAGGACTAAGTTTAAACATCCATCAGGAGTTATTTTTGAAGTGATCACTTCTAAATGAGAAGCATTTGAAAATCCCACCACGTTCTTCACAAGTAAATTCCAAAGTCATGTATTTTGCCTATGTCTGCTGATTAATTATGATCCTGTGACAACATAAAAAGCCCCAGTGGTTGGTTTGGTGCAGCTGTGGAGAAAAGAAAGCAAGTGCTAGTGACTTTGCCAGCTCTCAGGACAGTGGGGACTGAGGCTAAGGGAGGCATTTTTCCCTCTGGCAGTCTCCACATAAGAACAGCAGCTCCAGCCAGACCCAGTTCTCTAGACTCCACATGGGCGGTTTGGGTCCCTGAGGGAGTGTGGGGAAGGAGTGACATCTGATCTGTTGCTTCGGTAATAACAGATCTTTTATGAGAGAAAGCATTTTTTGGCCTCCACATTGGGACTTGTGTGCATTCTCTGGTACAGTTCTGTTTAAGAAGAAAATAATAGTTACATATAGTAAAATAAGATTTATTTTGATCCTTTAAACAGAAGGTACTCAGCATGTATTGTTGGTGGCAGTTGCAGATGTGTGGCCCAGGAAAACCTGCCATCTCACTCATTTAGGGTCTGACAATTCTGGACCTATTTTATCTTAGCCTCTTACTTTTTCTTATTATTCCCTTCTATATCTAACTCTCAATTACTTCACTACTGTGAGCCCAGTCTTTCATTAGCAGACAAGAAGAAAAAAAAAGAAAAAGCTGAATGTGTTTACTTAGAAAGAGTCATCTGCTGCTCCAGTGAAGGATGCAATAGAGAAAAAAAACCACAACAAATATTAAAATAGATGTTAAAATTCTTGGTGTGTTTATCTGTTCTTGCTTTCCTCCACACCTTTTCCCCTTGGTTTAGGTAAGGGGTCCCAAAGCTGAAGATTTCTCTCACATGCATCCTTCTCCTTGGCACTTGTGAAGGTCAGAGAATCTCAGCTACCCTTAATTCCCTTTCATTCTCTGCTGCAGATTTGTCCTCCTCACAGAGGTTTTGTGGATGTCATTGCAGAGCACACACACTTGCACATGGCCTGTGTCACTTGTCTGCTGGAACTGTGGCCATCGTTCTAAATATAGGCCACTAGAGAGATGACAGGGTCGCCTTGCTCTATTTAATTCTGGCACAGAATGTGCATAAGAGTAAGAGTGTGGTGCGTCCATACTGCTGCCCCACAGCTGACCTCTAAGAGAGGATCTGCTCTATCACTACCCATTATTTGAAGAGGCAAACATTGGTGTGCCTGCCTCTTAAGCCAGCACTGTTCGGGTGAACCCAAACATGTAAACCAGTTTAGACTCTGAGGAAGTTTATTTTTCCTATAGAAAGACTTTGACTCTAAAAGGTACATTGTAGGGTTTGGGGCATAGCTCAGTGATAGAGCACTTGCCTAGCATGCATGAGAACCTGGGTTTCATCCTAGCACTGCAAAAAAAGAAAAAGGCATATTCTGTTTTCATGTGAGACTGCTAACATAAATAAATCCATTTATAGGCTGTTTCTAACTAATAAGCTCCTGCAGCAAGTGACTGATCACAGAGTAGTCCCCAAGTTTGGGGATCGTGTGAGGGACCCACAGCACAGGTATGGGTCAAGAATATAAGGTTCTCACCACTGCTGTGTCCTCCAAAACCAGAGCTGTCCTGCAGGTGCCTGTTTCCTTTGAGGAGAATATAAAAGGAGGAACTGAGCATTTAGGAAAAATACATTTTTACAGCAGGATATTACTTTTTGTCTTTTTTGGTTTAGGTTTTTCATTTGTTACAAGCCTACGCAGACTCCAAACACAGGATGGACTCAGACTTTCAGCAGGAGCTGACTGACATCACTGTCTGTACAAAAGCCAAACTCTGGCTGGCCAAGAGGTATGTTAAAACTCCACGTGAGCAAGGAATTGTCAGGGGTTAGCACTACATTCCAGAATGGCAATTTCTAGTTGTGGGGAGGTTTAAAAATTATTGGCATGAGTTTTCTAAACTTAATGGAATATTTATCCTTTTAGAATTTTGGGTGATGGTAAAGAAAGAAAAATGTTCTCTTGACAATTTTATAAAACTGCTGAGTTACTAGAGGACAGGTAATAAGGCTTTTTATCTGCCCACCAATCTGCTGGTTTTTATTAATAGCCACTGTGTGCCCAGCCCTGTGTTAGACATGAGAACAATGAAAGGCAGTAATTGGCGCAGTCATGTGTATAAACTGTCTCAGAGGCTAGAGATTGGTGTCAGAGACTGGAGCAGGCACTGAGGGACAGAGAGGGGTGAACTAGGAGAGGGGTTGGAAGTTACCCCCTCTTTTTTTGGGTGGGCAGTACAGTAGCTTGAATAAGCAGCGCAAAGGATAGGTACATGTGTGTTTTTCATCTCTGCCATTTTTAGTTTATTCTGGAATTTAGAACATTTCTTATGTGAAAAGGTGTAAATGGAATTTCTCATTTAATAGTCTACAGGGAGTATTGTCTGTGACATTGTATTCAAAACCTACTTGTTAAAGTACTCTGATGTTGGCAGGACAGTTTTTTTCAGGGGCCCCTTATGTCCTCTATAAGTTCCAGCAAGGTAGGCCTTTGAGTGACCTTACTATATTCCAGGCCATAGTATGTGGTGTCTGATTAAGAGTCAGTATATCAGTTTTCTGATGCAATAGTCTGTCTATCTTTCTGTCTCTCCCTTCCCCCTTAAATGTTTTTCTGTTTACTTTTGTTGGGCTCCCCACTTTATATGGCAAGTTAGGTCATGGGCAATGTGAGACACACAAACCACTTTAATTCTAAAAAGTATTGCTGAGCACAGGCTATGTGCCAACATTTGTGTTAGAAGAGGTGGAGATACAAAGGGAGAGAACAAATGGCCTTGGCTTCAGGAGATTCCATGAGGTGAGAAAGACATGTAAGGAGGTAATTTTCATTCACTTGGTTAAGTGTAATAACAAATATATGTGATACAAGATCAGGAGACAAGTAGAATTTTGCCAAATGGCCAGGGAAGGAGAATTGCAGGTTTCACTGATAGCATAGGCAGAAACACAGCAGCTGCAAGGGCATGGTAGGTTTGAAGAGCTGTAAGAAAGTCAGCCTCTCCTGAGGCAGAGAGTGAGGCTGAAGAAGTAGGCAGGGGTCACAGTGACAACTCCTAAAGGTGACCTTTGGGTGATGGGAGCTGGTGATAGATACCCCCTCCCTGGGGATATATCTTGACAATGGCCCCAGCACTGATAGCTCTGGACAGGAATACTGAGGAAGGAATCCTCTAGTGTCTGGAAAGTCAGAATGCTTATGGTAGACCTTTCATCAATCCAATTTTTATTTCCTCCATTTTATTTAGAGTAGGAGTCGCTTAATCATAAAGTATTTCTCTAAGCCTAGTACCATTTGTCTTCTGTATGGCTCTTTAGACTCCCCAAGTCACATTTCCCAAGAGAACAGGTACTTAGGGTCACATTTATACTCTCAGCTGTTTGCAATTAATAGGTTTGAGCCTCCTAGCTACTGTTTCTAGAGATCAGGCAGTCAGGGTTCTCCCCAAATCATCCTGTTGAAACTCTGCTTCTAGCTAGGACTGCCCCAAGAATCCTGACTTTACATTTCTTACAGTGCTGTCAGGAACAAATTTCTGCCCTTTTAGCTTACTACTTCTTCGTGGGCTTCACAGAAAGTCATTACCCTCTGGCTTCTTAAGTCCATCCCTACTCACTGGGTGGAATGGAGAAGATGGAGAGTGACAGGCCAGTCACTGATGGACCTTTGTCTTATGCAGCCTGAAGATGGCTGACAAAGCTACCATCAGATTTCTTTTCAGCCCAAGAAGTCCTCCAAGTCTTTGTAAACCTTTCCTGTGGGCCCTCTTTCTATTCTCTAATCAGGCTTTTCATCACCATCATCATCACCATCATCTCTCCTCTGTGACTTTTCTCCTTGATTTTCTAACCCTAGAAAATAAAGGCATGAATCACTGCACTTCATTGGGTTTCTGCCTTCTTTGCCTTGAGTCCAGGAAAGCCACTTGTCTGTTTCCAGTACAGTCAACTCTCTATTATCCAAGTGCGAACTTTCCACTTGGTAGGTGGTCTGTGAATGGTTCCTAACACTAGGTTTCCTTTTGCTCTGCAATACACTTTTACAAGTATTAATCAGGATGTGTTCAGAGCCTGGAATGGAGTTTGGAAGAAAAACATGCTGTGAAAGCACAATACATTCCAAAGTTTTGTATAAGTCTTTCCATGTGAGCCATCCCATTGACAGGATAACCCTGAAGATCCCAAATAGGCAAGTATAGAGTTGGGTCTAAGTGATGAAATTTCAGCCCACCCCGTGCCTGCCCAGTCCTCGAGGGCCTCTTAGTGTTGCAGGTGTTCATCCACACCAGTTAACTCCATGCTCAGATGAACCTACCCAGTGATCCCTTCTCCAAGCAGACCTGTCTTCACTTTCTTGCGTGCCTTTGCTGTGAAGATCAGCACAGAGTAGTCTAAACTCCACTGCTGAAGAGGCTCATTTGCATCCCTGGTAATTCACACATGAAAGAAAAATAAATGTTCCTTTGAGTCCCCTAAGGATTTTCTGTATCTTTTAGTATAAGCTATGAAAAACCAATGTTATTACAGAAAGAAAATATTGGTTTAAATTTTAGCACTAACACCTTTTTCTTCCTATAATTTATTTGATCACTAGCCTAAGTTCTTTCAGTCCAGTAAGTATAAAAATTTTAGTAGATATGTCATTTTTTTGTTGTTGTTCCTAAAGAAGGCTTCAAAAAATTCATGGAGGCATGGGATAACTAATTCAGTTTTCAAATTTTGACTCAAATGGAGGGCACATAAAGACTTTTGTCATATATTTGTGTTTTGACTTTGTAAGATTAATAAGGATTTATATGAGGTGGTTTAGCAATAGCTATGAAGTTGTTGGGAATTTCTGGTGATGAATGGCCAGCTGGCAACATGACTTGAGCAAAGGACTGGGCTCCTGCTCTTACAGGCCACTTTTCATTCCAAGATGTCAAAGCCTTTATGGAAATCAGCTCGTTAATCCTTCAAGTGCCTTCTTTCCCTTTTTCCCTCCCACCCTCCCTCCTCAATCCAGTTCAGTGTCTCTCTCATGGTGCTAAGGCAGTTTACCCACTACTGAAAGAAGACTAAGCTGTGCCTGGCCAGGAACAGGGAGCGTAGAGGTGAGCCGCTGGCCTGCAGTGGCTGGGTAGGACTCACCTAGCCCTGGATGGTGGCCCAGTCTGCTGTCCTTGCTGTTTGCCGACTCCAGCTCAGCTATCCCAGCTGGACCATAGGCCCTGAATAGGAAGGATTTTGAAAGCTCTGTCAAGTCAGAGTAAGGAAGAAAAAGACTTATTTTGGTTGAGAGTTGGAATTATTATTACACTAGGATTAAATTTTTCAGAAATGTATTTAGTTATCTAGTATTTCCTTCTTTGGTTACAAAAAGGAAGAGGACGTACTTTGAAACAGGAAAAGGTCCAAAAAGGGTAGGGGTAGTGGGAGGGGATGGGGAAAGGAAAGAAGGGAAAGGAAAAATTATGAGAAAATTTAAAAAATGGAAACGAAGTCTATGTAAATAGGGAAGGGTGGAGGGGGTAAAGGGCGCACAGGTAATGGGGGAAAAATAAGAACTAAGATACATCATGTACAGGTACAAGCACCCAATGATAAATGTAAACGTATTGTATACCTAAAATGTACCAATAAAAGACTTTAAGGAAAGAAAAAAAAACGGAAGAGGACGTACAAGCATTATATGTACACTGTGTGATCCTATTAGTAAACTGAGTGAACTAAGTGGACTGTTCAAATGAAGTGTAACAGATGATGTCATAGCCAAAAAGAAATGTACTTGATCCTAAACTGTTTTCATTTTCTTTTCTTGTCAGTGTAGTGTGTTTTTATAGAAAATGTCCAAGTACAAAATTGGAAAAAAAGAGAATAAAAGTCTACTTTTACTACAATATAGTGGAAACCACTATATTGGTTAACAGTTTTATTTAATTCATCTTTTTTTCCTATGCTTTTTTTTTTCTTTTGCCTAACTAAGGTTATATTGTATATATAAGTTGTATCTTCCTTCTTTGACTTGACAGTATCATGAAAGCATTTGTGTTTATTATTTTTAAATCTTTATGATATAGCTGTGGAAAATAGTATAGCATTCCCTAAAAAATATTGAAAATAGAATTACTCTATAATCCATCAATTTCAATTCTGGATACATACACCAGACAATGAAAGCAGAGACTTAAAGAGATACTGGTACAACCATGTTCATAGCTGTATTATCATGGTCGCTAAAACACGGAACTGACTCAAGTGTCCGTTGATGAATGATGAGTGAATGAACAGAATATGGTGTGTGCATAAAGTGGAAGGTTGAAACTACATCCATATCTCTCATCCTGTACAAAAATCAATTCAAAATGGATCGAAGACTTTAGTATAAGACCTGAAACTTTGAAACTGTTGAAGAAAACAGAAGAGAAACATTTTACGACATAGGCACTAGCATTGACTTCCTGACACCAGTAGCTCAGGGTATAATAGCAAGAAAGGACAAATGAGACTGCATCAAATTAAGTTTCTGCATAGCAGAGGAAACAACCAACAGAATGAAGAGACAGCTTCAGAATGAGAGAAAGTCTTTGCCAACTATTCTTCTGACAGAAGATTAATACCTAGAATATATAAAGAACTCAAAACCAAAAAAGCTCCGTCATTGAGTGGGCAAAATGAGCATTTTTCAAAAGAAATACAGATGGTTGATAATTTCATGAAAAATTGTTCAACATCATTAGCCAAAGATATGCATTAGTCAGAGATATGCAAATCAAAACCACACTGAAATTTCATCTTACCAACACAGTCA